AATCTTTCTTCTTTTTTTTTTAAATTTCTTGTGTTCGCTTTCGTCCAGATGCCAGGATGTGCGAGTGATGGAATCGCTTGCAACTCGGAATGTAAAATCAGAAGACCGAGTTCGAATTCCACTAGCGTTCGTTATATTCACTTAGGCGCAAATATTCTTGTGAAAAGTATGAAGCTATTTCTTCCGCTAGCTATGTGTTAAATATTAAGATTTATATTTGGAAAAATCATTGTTATCGAAAAGACGTGTTAATTTTTAATATTCACTCGTCAAAGAAAAAGAGGAATTTTTCTTACAGTTCAAAAATATATTTTGAATTTAAATAACCCACAAAAGGTTGATAGGAGGTAAAAAAAAAACAAAAACAAATTACTCACACAGATATAATTTATAATTTATATATATATATTCATATAAAACATTTAATTTGATTAAAATATTTAACTTCAGAAATAATGAAACCTCTTTTTAATGTCGGAAATATCAAAAGAAATGCTTTTGGCACCTCAATAGAACCTACGGATATTTGAAACACCCTTTTGTTCGGAATGAGGATATAATTTCCGGAAAACGTAAATCCGGTCCGACGTCTGACCTGCTGAGCTTGAATCGGAGTTAATGAAGAATTGATTTTTCTAGATACCAGCAAATAATTGCTAGAATATATAGATATTTATAACCTTTAGCGAATTCACTAGGCTATAATGACCAGTAAAACTATCTTGTTAAAACTATCTTTGGTGCGTTCAAATTAGCTTTATCTTTTGGTCTCGTAGAGAGAAAATGTAATCGGGCATCCCATAATAATCTATCAACACAAATAAAAGCCTGACATGTAAAATTCCCTTTTCCGCAGGACCACTCGTATGAGAAGTGGAAAGTGCTTATTAAATCAATTGCTAAGTCTGAAGCTAAAAAGTTGGTTCACTGTGTCGTTCTAGACACTTTTTCTCTGTAGAATCTATCTTACATATTTATAAGTCTACCATTCATCTTTGCTTTGAATATTGCTGCCGCATCTGGTGCGGTGCTCCTACTATATATTTAGAGATTCTTGATAGAATCCAAAGAATCGGCAATGCTATTGGTCCTGATCTGGCATCTCGGCTTCAGTCCCTTTTCCATCGCCGTAACGGATCTTCTCGAGTCTTTTCTATAAATACTTTCATGGTAATTGTTCTGATGAACTTTCCTCTAGTTTTACCTAGACGTTATGAATTTAAGCTCAGTACTAGATTAGCGACAAGTTCTCATCAATTTACAGTTGAAATACCTAGATTTAACCATAAATTCTATACTAATAGTTTCTCCTACCGCACTTCTTGCTTGTGGAACTCTCTTCCGGCTTCTTTATATGCTTTTAAACAAAAGTTTGACAGCACAGAATTTGTATATAGCCTTAAATATACAAAAACGCATTCTTTAAAGGAACCTTTTTCGACCAATATTTCAGAAGAATACATTGGTACCTCAGATAAGCAAAATTATATATATATATATATATATATATATATATATATATGTGTGTGTGTGTGTGTGTGTGTGTGTATAAATATAAATAAATATATCTATATATATATAATTATTTATATATTATATGCGCGGTACTTATTAGTTTGTCTGACGATCGCTAAAGCGTGAAACCCAGGGCCAAAAACTCACATCTATCCAGATATATATATATATATATATATATATATATATATATATATATATATATATATATATATATATATATATATATATATATATATATATATATATATATATATGTTGTGGAAGAGGAAGAATATTTTACAGACTTATGTGAGCCTGAGTAAAAAAAAAAAAACACGAAATGGCTTTTTAAACAAACATCAATTAATAAATGTCTTTAGAAAACCTGTTTAAAGAAGTTTAAAATAGAAATGAACCTCATAGTTGAAGTTATTAATAGTTCCGCACTATCTTCGAAGTGCTTACGGATCGCGAGGAATAAAATACACGTGTTGTCGCTCGAAAGTCAAAAGGAAAAGAGTGTGAGTCTTTCGAAAATCGCACCGCCTCTAAATTTAGCCAAGGACGGTAATCAATATATATATATATATATATATATATATATATATATATATATATATATATATATATATATTATTTTATAAAAAAATTTATAACATAAGTATGTTATAAAATCACTACAAAAATAGCCATTTTGTTTCGTTAACACTCTCTCTGTCTTATCAAATGGTGTTGAAAAGAAAATAAATGTTTTAAAAGTTTTTAATTAACGATCCTACACTTGATAAGACTCCCTAGTGTAGAAACAAAATGGCTATTTTTGTAGTGATTTTATAACATACTTATTTTATTTTTTTTTTTATAAAAATAATTATATCTGCTCTACTTTGTATTGAGCACTCTTTTAAGAATAGTAATTGTTGGTTATTGGAATTCATTCCGTGTATACCAATTATATACTTTTGATATATATATATATATATATATATATATATATATATATATATATATATAGGCAGTATGAAAGCTTATTTTGCTATCACGCAGCATATGATATTATTTTTTTGACCAAGTTCACCCCAAGCAAGGCAGTAAAGCCAATACGACATAAGGGATTACTGACTGTGGAAGAATTAGAAACCAGAAACATTACTAAGGAGCGAGAACAATAGAAGAGTAATCAGGGAGACAATTGATAGCGATTGACAATGCATTTACATCTTTGAAGATTTAAGATGGCTGGAAAGCATAGAGTCGGAAGTGAGTTCCACAAACAAGAAATGCTAGAAAAATAGCATAGAACTAACGGTTACATCTAGCCTTTTCAACTGTAAATCAGTAAGCCATTACCGCCAATCGAGTACTGCACTTATATTCAGTAAGTCTAGGTACCATAGCGTAGAGCTCATTCGAACAGTTGCTATGAAAGCATTTACAGAAAAGACACAGTGAGGCAAGTTTACGGCGGTGGGAAGGTATCTGAAGCCGACTAATAAAATTGCGGATTCGTTGGAATTTATCAAGGATCTGTAGACATATATCAAGAGCAACGTACCATATGTGGCAGCAACATTCTAATCATGGCCGAATTTATAGGTATGTAAGATAGATTCCGGAGAGAAAAATTATATAATGCTACACAACTTTAACAGCTATGTAATTTTTACGTATGAATTATTATTCAAGTGGTTGAAATGATTACTTAAATTGTTGATGCTTGGATCTAATAAGGAGAAAAGAAAGATATTTCAGTGTAATTAAACTAGTAATATTCTTGAATACGCCCCAAAGATAGTTTTAACAAGATAGTTTTACTGGTCATTATAGCCTAGTGAATTCGCTAAAGGTTATAAATATCTATATATTCTAGCAATTATTTGCTGGTATCTAGAAAAATCAATTCTTCATTAACTCCGATTCAAGCTCAGCAGGTCAGACGTCGGACCGGATTTACGTTTTCCGGAAATTATATCCTCATTCCGAACAAAAGGGTGTTTCAAATATCCGTAGGTTCTATTGAGGTGCCAAAAGCATTTCTTTTGATATTTCCGACATTAAAAAGAGGTTTCATTATTTTTGAAGTTAAATATTTTCTTATTTTAGTAACTGTTTTTGTAAAATTTAAATTGCTTTCGTTTTTAGTGGCTTATGCCTAACTTATGTCGGTAGTAGAGCACTTTAGATTGCGTCAAATGAGACTGCAGTGACATATAATCTTCTTCGTCTTCTTGCGGTTTCCATTCAAGATGTCGGCTATCATTCCTAACCATGGTCTCCCATCCTATGTGGTTCTCGGTGCAGTTTGTCTTTTCGCTATGTCTCCCAATCCTTGTTTCGCCAAACATTTGCAAAAGCCCGTTAGGTAGGCTACAGGCTGCTTTCCTCTGTTCCTCATCCTCGTGAGTGTTAAAGTTTCTAAACCTCTTTCCATCATTATTCTTATAATTAGAATCGCTCTGATTCTAAACCTAAATAACTTTTTGTTCATATTTTCCCTAAAGCTTCATCATTGCGCACAGGTTCAGTTCATGGTATTCTTTGCATCCCTCTGTAGAAACACATATCTGTTAGTTCAAGTTTCTTCTTCATCTGTTTCATTGATTGATTGATTGATTCATTTTCTAGGGCTTATCAACCTTTTGCGAGTTATTTAAAGACAGGAAATATTTTTAGACTGTCAGATTTTTTTTTGGTTTTGAAGATAATAATGACTTCAGCGAATGATGGATGATTTCCTCAATGATGAAGAAGAAACACGTGGCGACGTAGATGTAGTTTTACAGAAGGATGCTAGGGATAACATCGACCGAATGTGTGAGCAACGATGAGGTCTTAGAGAGGATGCAAACAAGGTAGCTTATACGTATCACCAGGAAGAGTTTGCTAAAGTTTCTGGGACACATAATGAGGAAGGAACACCTGATACTCACGAGTCGAATAGAGGAAAATAGAGATAATGGAAAACAGCGCATGACATACCTAGAGGACTTAAGCAAGTAGATGAGAGAACTAAAGAGGTAGCAAAGAGAAGGAACTTGTTGAGAGTTGCAAGGGATAGAGAGAGGTGGAGTGCCATGATCGCCTAAGTCCTGAAAGGGAGAGGCAGCTGAAGTTTCTGGGACACAATGGGGAAGAAGGGCCTGGAGAATCTGAATAGAGGGAAAGAGTGACAAAGGAAAACAGCGCATGACATACCTAGAGGACTTAAGCAAGTGGATGACAGAACATAATCTGGGGGAGGTTACAGAGGAAAGGGACATGTTGAGAGCTGCAAGGGATAGAGGGAGGTGGAGAGCCATGATCGCTGACATCCTGAAAGGACACGACACATAAAAAGAATGACACAAATTTTACTAATTAGCCCAGAGGAGAAGAGATGAATTCATAGATTTTCCAAGAGTATTTGCGACTAATTGAATATAAAGAACTCAAATGGAATTGGAACTCGGTTACCTGCTTAACAATTCCTCCCCTTTATCCATTATCCAGCCGCATATCCAAACTTACAGCACCTGGTATTCCTAAGCGGCTCCCATGTAGGTACTAACCAGCCTCGACGTTGCTTAACTTCAGTGATCGTACGGTAACCGGCGTTTCAACATGATATAGCCCTAAGCCTTCTTCATCTGAGAGTAGATTATCTAGCATTCACTACCTTACATGTGTACCTATACATATTAGTTCAGTAGTCGTTTCTCTATTTCAAATGAAATTATCCTATTTCTTCATACGTTGCTTAGCTTTTGGAAGGCATCTTTCGCTATTCCAGTGCGCCTTCGGATTTAGGTGTCGGATTTTCCATCCTCTGTTAAAATACTACCAAGGTATTTAAAAAATTTTTTTATAGTTGCTTGGTTTTGGTGTCTCCAATTCGCAGTTCGCGTCTTAGGCTCTTCCTTTTGCTGATACCCACACATGCTGTCTTCTTATAATTGATGTTTAGTTCTTTCTTCTCGCTTTATTTGACTGTCTTCTGTAGGTGTTGTAGTTTCCATTCTGGCTGCTATCCACACTTTGTCATCTGCATATCTAAATTGTTAAGATTGTCGCCAGAGAAGAAGTCTAATTCTATCAAGTACGCGTCAGTGTAAAATTTGAATAAGTCCGGCGAAAAGACACACCGTTGTCTTTTTAAAACAATCGTGTAATAAGGGAGATTTTCCAAAGCTTTTACTCTAATTTTTGTCAACCATTATGAGAGGCCCATGACGAAATATCTTTTTTATGATTTCTAACTATGGGATAGAGCTGAGGAAAAGTTAATTTATACCTTTTCCAAGGACATTGATGTTAGATGAATAGAAACATCTCTAGTCTTGAAATTCGAATATGGTTCACCGTTTTCCTTGCTGAAGGCCGTTACTCCGCCAAAACTGCTTTAGTCTCTCTACAGATTACTTTCCTCTTTCCTGTTTCTCTTGCTCGGCCCGGGTGCAGCCATTTCCAAGTTACAATTATTTCACTATCCGTTTACCCTCTGCCTCTACTCTGATCCCATTCATTTAAAATTGCCAGCCTCTCTCTCTCCGTTTCTACAAATTCTGTAGTTCTAACGCCATATTAACACCACACACTTTGCGCGCGCATGCGTCAAGATAAACGCAGACATAAAGGGACACATTCACAAGCGCATGCAGTTTTTTTTTTTATATTAGGCACATTCTCTTGAACATAACTAAAACTGAGGACACTCACTCTAGACGGCTGCTGCTGCTTTTTCTTCTGATACTACTACTACTACTATTTGACATGCTGTATTGAATGTCATATGAGAAAGTACCCGATACTCGAAGACGATGTCCACGTTCATTCTCAACTGTAAACTTCTTTTTCTTTTTCTTCTTCTGTATTTTTTCTCTTCTTTCTTTGTCTTTTCGGTTCTTTTTTCTCTTCTTTCTTTGTTTTTTCGGCTCTTTTTTCTTATCGTTTGCTTTTTTCTTTCTTTTACTGTTCATTTTTTTTAAGGAAGCAGAAAATGACGGCTGTCGGTACTTGATTTTTTAAATAAGTCTCCCCCCCCTCTCCAAGCAAGGCGATAATGCCACTAAGACAAAAGGACTATTAGAAGTGAAAGAGAATGAAAAAAACTTTAGAAGGAACCGGAAAATCAATCGTTAACAAGTAAAAAAGTATAAACTTGTACACCTGTTCGGAAGACAGGGGAGAAGTGTGAATCGGATGATAGGCGAAACTATCTTTTATTTTCGTGACTTTATCAAGAATCGGATTAATTTAGAAAGATTACTTGTGTACTAAGTACGTCACATTTTATTATTATTATTATTATTATTATTATTATTATTATTATTATTATTATTTCCTTTGATTTCTGGCGTTTACACATTTTTTTCCGGGTCCCGCCCAGGGACCTAAGGTTAGAAAATGCGTCATGACACTTTCCACTGACAAAAAAAAAAAAAAATTAAATTACATAGATAAAGCCCTTCGTAAGGTGTGGGCTGTACTTGTCAGAACAATTTTTTGTATCTCCTTGAGGCATGGACTTCCAGGAATCCCTTCAATTAGTCTACTGCAATCTTTTCCAACCAGTCCTAGGGCTCCAACTACAACAGGGATTGTTGATGTTCCCATATGCCACATTATTATTATTATTTTTTTTATTATTATTATTATTATTATTATTGTTGTTGTTGTTGTTCCCATTTTCGTTCTTGTTCTTAAGATGTTTTTTTGTTGTTGCTTGTAATCGTTAATCGTAATCGTCTCAAATTGTTCTATTCCTTCCTATCTATTCATCATCTTCTCTTCCTCTGCCTCTACCTCTTTCTCTTACCCCTCCTACTATTATTACTTGTCTTTTCTTTTTTTTTCATTTTTGGCTCCATATCACAACGTCCAACATTGAGGTACTCGACGTAATGCAATGCATAACAAGCTTGTCCCGCTAGAACAATTACAACTTAGTTGCATTCACTTACGCACGAATCCCCTTAGGAAAAGGTAACACTGCATCCCTACTCACTCTACTTATGGGTTGAATAGTAGGACAGACTATGTTCTATAGCCTTGATTGGCAACCAGCCTACCGCAGAAAGAAATGGCCAACTACTGCGGGAAAATCTCCTGCCTAGTCAGTTCTGGATCGAAAGAGACAAGCGTATTTCACGTATGGCACTTAGCTGAGTGAGTTCGATCCTAACTGGGTGCTCCATACTTTCAGTTTTGTGCTACATCTAAGCTATGCTTAGAAAATCTCCATATCGTCCAACGTTTCTTTCGCTTATATTTTCTTCACGAATTTTTTTTCACTTCACTCTCCCTTTCTTCTTCTTTTACTACTTCTTTTTTTTTCTTCTTCTTCTTTTTCTACTCCTTCTTCTTGTCCATTTACGTATTTATTCATTACCCTCTCCTTCTTTATTCCTTCTTTTTTTCTTTTCTCTCTTCTGTCATTCTTTTTCTTCTCGTTTCTCCTCTTCCCATTACGGTCTTTCTTTCACTAGTGTTCACTCTGTTTCTTTCACTCCACGCCCATTGTTTGAATTTCTTCGTTATTTCTTCTCTTTTTTCTCTCTTTTTTACCTTTTCTTCACCTTGAGGTCTTTCTTTTTTCTTTTTCTCTCCCTCCTCGTTCATTTCCATATTCTTCTTTTGGTCTGCATTCCTTCTCTTTTAACTCTGCTTCCATCTTCTTTTTTACTTTTGCCCGCATTTTATTTCTTAATCATTTATTTTTCTTTTTGATTCTTATACTTATGTGGCCTTGTTGTTGCGTGCTTTGCTGAATGCAACACTTACTTTAGTCTGTCTCCATTGGCCCGTCTACGGCGACCCCGTTCTGCACCAATTCTGCGTCCCCACGTTGTGTTGGGTTATTTGTAAGAATATCGGTGGAGAACTGTCAAAGATCAGCATTGACTCATCTCTGACCTGGCTATATTTGTGAAAGAGTAAATCCACAGATTTCGCCAGTGAACTTAATTAACTTTAACAACACAGAACAACTTTTATTTTTGGTACTGTGATTTATTGTCATGAATAGATAAACAAGGGATTTGTAGAAGTTTCCCGTATAAGGAATTCTTGAGCTGGGATAAAGGGGTTGACTAGCGGTTGCAGTTATAACTAACTCGCTCAGAGTCGTCCATCTTGTTTAAATGAAGGCAGCTGATCGAGGGATTTCAAAAAAAGCGGCGTAGAGAACTTTAGTTGATCGAGGCATCACATCTGACAGGAAGTGTTGGTCTACTAGGGCCGGGACCAGTTTGATCTTTTCTTCTCTTTTGGCGACTGCTTTTACGGGGGCCCAAACTCTAATTACACTGTTCTGATTGGGTAGCCAATAATAATGCTTATCCAATGGTATCGTGTTATATGCATCGAAGTGGAGGAAGGACAGACCCTAATATCTAGTATGATTGATGGTCCAATCAAAATAATGGCCTTGTGTCGTAACTATCAGAGGGGAAGACAAGAAGCTCCGTCACAGCTTTTTTCTCATTGGTGAGCCAATCAAAATGGTGGCCTTGTATCGCGCATATCCACATTCAGTGAAACATTAGCCATTTTTTTTTCAAGGGTATTTCCATATTTTTATTTTTCATTTAGAAACTAATAGTATACATCTGAGATTGAATTTCAGCAAGTCCCCTAAATACTCCGAGGCTTACGGCCATATCACGTTGAAACACCGTTTCCCGTACGATCACCAACGTCAAGCCTGGCCAGTTCCTAGACGGGTAACCGCTTGAGAATACCAGGTGCTGTAAGTTTGGGTATATTGGTGGCTTAATAGATAACGGCTCGTAATAGGAAATCGGAGGCTGAGTTTCAATCCCAGTCGGGTTCGTTATATTCGCTTACGTGCAAATACACTTGGGAAATGTATGAACCCAACTCTTCTACCCCACTTATGGGTTAATTAGTAAAACGTGTATCAGTCAATTATTATTATCTCCAAAAGAATTCTTACAATCTAAAAAAATTTCTGGCATTTAATAAATTGCAAAAGGTTGATAAGCCGTAAAAATCAAAACAAATCAATAAATCAACCTAAATGCTTCAGCCCTTTCAATTATATTTCTGCTGATCTTAATATTGATGCTGCCTTGAAATTCTTTCTCTGGTGTCCAGTACCTCTTGCCTTTTCGCTAGGCTTTTTGTAATCGTTCCCAGTGCTCTAGGAACGATCAACACTACCGTTAACGCCATATTTCATGATATCCCCATCAGTGCTTTAGTAAGGTTCAGATATTGTTCGCCTTCCCTTAAATTGCTCTTTTTTTTAAGTGCGGGTATTGTAACGGTTATTGCGATAGAAAGCGGTACCAGCGTGTCGAGTTCAAGTTCCGACCTCGTCTTTCACAAAAAATGCCCTTGGGAAGAACATAAATCCATTTTTTCTTCCCCCCGCCCAGCTATTAAATATGGGTAAAATTGCAGGGAGTCGAGGAGAATGAACTCGCTGAATTCAAAACCGTGGAGATAGCAACGGGAAACTATTCCGCTATCTCTCCCAAGAAGTCATGGGAATTCAAAGATAATAAAGAAAAGGATTCTGTGGAGAGCCATGATTGCCTACAACCTGATGGGACATGTCATTATCGCAAAAAATTCTCATACCATTGGTCCGATAAAATCTTTTTTCTTTCATTCGTTCTATCCCTTTTTTGCATTCTCTCTCTCTCTCGCTCTCTCCCTTTTTTGCATTCTCTCTCTCTCTCGCTCTCTCTTATCTCTCTCTCTCCCTTTTTTGCATTCTCTCTCTCTCTCTCTCTCTCGCTCTCTCCCTTTTTTGCATTCTCTCTCTCTCTCTCGCTCTCTCCCTTCTTTGCATTCTCTCTCTCGCTCTCTCCCTTTTTTGCATTCTCTCTCTCTCTCTCCCTTTTTTGCATTCTCTCTCTCTCGCTCTCTCCCTTTTTTGCATTCTCTCTCTCTCTCTCTCTCTCTCCCTTTTTTTGCATTCTCTCTCTCTCTCTCCCTTTCTTGCATTCTCTCTCTCTCTTTTCCCTTTTTTGCATTCTCTCTCTCTCTCCCTTTTTGCATTCTCTCTCTCTCTCTGCTCTCTCCTTTTTGCATTCTCTCTCTCTCTCTCTCCTTTTTTGCATTCTCTCTCTCTCTCCCTTTTTGCATTCTCTCTCTCTCTCTCGCTCTCTCCCTTTTTTGCATTCTCTCTCTCTCTCTCTCTCTCCCTTTTTTTGCATTCTCTCTCTCTCTCTCACCCGCTATTTCACTCTCTCTAACACTCTTTTTTCCCAATCTCCCTTACGCCGTCTCACTTTCTCAGGCGTTTTCACTCTCTCTTTCAGTTCTTCCTATTCTCAGATTCTGTATCTCTCTTTCTCTTTCAGTTTTTCTCCCACTCCCACTCTCTTATTTCACACTCCCTTATTCTCTTTCTAGATCTAGCTCTGTGTCTCACTCCCTCACTGCCTCACTCTCACTCTCTTTCTCACTCTCCTACTGTCTTTCATTCTCTTTCATTCACTATCTCATTTTCTCACTCTCTTACGCTTACATTATCTCTCTCTCACTCCCGTCTCCTTTCGCACTCTTTCTCAATTTCTCTCTTTTTCACGTTCTTTCGTATTCACTCTCTCTCTCTCTCTTTTACAATTTTTCTTTTTGTTCTTTTCTATTTCAAATATTTCCTCTTATTTTGTCCTAACCTCTTAAATTACATTTTTTCTTAACTATCGCTGCTTTTCTGTCTCTTCTCCCCCAATCTCAAATTACTTCACCCCTCGTTTTCATATCTTTTACCTCCTTTGCTTCATGCTTATTCTTCTGTTTCAGTTTTCTTTTTTCTTTCTTTTTTTTCTATAACCCATTATACTTTCTCTCTACCCACATCCACCCAGTAGCCTGACCGGTTACCAAGGTTCAACCAAGACTTACCCAATTATCACCCACCATACTCGTAACATTCCTCTTCTTCCCAGTTCACTCTCATCTTTCCTCTCAACCCGATTAATTTCTCCTTGGTGACCTCCAAACCAGCCTCCCCAACTCAGCCTCCTTTCGTTCCATCTCTTCTGCTTCCCCACATCAAAAGCCCTTCATGGACCCTACTGGTGGACGGTAGATGTGTCGTTTTTCCCACAGATATTATATACCACAGTCTTAACACGATACACATGAGGCTAGACCCGCAAATGGATTTCTTGGGACAGCTATTTGCTGCGTCGGCAATAATTCAAAGTAGTCTCATCACACCTACATTTATTCAAGAATTTCAATGCTATACACAGAGTAACATGTTCATATCTATATAAGCTTCCAACGTATGGATAGCTTTGTTATAAAATTACAAGGATGATCTTGTCTACCGCGTGGTTGGAGGTATTTGACCTATTTTTTGTTTTGAAATTTCAGGGCATTTAATTAGTGAAAATGACGGCACTTACAAATATTCTAAAAAACATTCGGTTATTTTAGTGTTTTTAATTTTTGAGGAATTATTAAATCGATGAAAGTCAAAAGAGTCAGTCGGTTATTTTTAGTAGAAACTGGAAAGATGACTAACCAATAACAACAAACTAAAAGATCTAAAAGCATGCCGAGTTATACGGTGGATTTTTCTACACGGGAGACTCAGGTTCGAGCTATGCCAGATGGAATGCTTTCTTTGTTAAGACTCTCGAAAGCACAGGCCGGTAGATGTAATTCATACTCTTAAAAAAACAAATAAAGAAACAAAAAAGAGGTCATCTACTGAAACACGTGTATCCACTAAAATATATGTTTTTTTTTGTTTTCTTTTTAATCATTTCATCCCAAGCAAAGCGGAAGAGCCACTAGTACTCAGTCGCTTACAGAAAGTGAAACTGAGAGAAAAGACTAGGTATAAGGGAGGGAGAAGAAAGACTAGGTATAAGGGAGGGTGAGGAAAGACTAGGTATAAGGGAGGGTGAGAAAAGACTAGATATAAGAGAGGGTGAAAAAAGACTAGGTATAAGGGAGGGTGAGAAAAGACTAGGTATAAGGGAGAGTGAGAAAATACTAGGTATAAGAGAGGGTGAGAAAAGACTAGGTATAAGGGAGGGTGAAGAAAGACTTGGTATAAGGGAAGGTGAGAAAAGACTAGGTATAAGGGAAGGTGAGGAAAGACTAGGTATAAGGGAGGCTGAAGAAAGACTAGGTATAAGGGAGGGTGAGGAAAGACTATGTATAAGGGAGGGTGAGAAAATACTAGGTATAAGGGAGGTGAGAAAGACTAGGTATAAGGGAGGGTGAGGAAAGACTATGTATAAGGGAGGGTGAGAAAATACTAGGTATAAGGGAGGGTGAGAAAAGACTAGGTATAAGGGAGGGTGAGGAAAGACTATGTATAAGGGAGGGTGAGAAAATACTAGGTATAAGAGAGGGTGAGAAAAGACTAGGTATAAGGGAGGGTGAAAAAAGACTAGGTATAAGGGAGGGTGAAGAAAGACTAGGTATAAGGGAGGGTGAGAAAAGACTAGGTATAAGGAAGGGTGAGGAACGGGGTTCAAGTCAACAGGATATGGCTGTTGACGTTGCATTTAAATTTTTGAACATTGTAATTATCAGGGAAGCAACGGATGGGAGATCAAGTCGGGAAGTGCGTGAAAAGAAACTTTTGGAGTAGAAGTGGCGGTTACATTGAACTCTTTCAATAGTTTAACCATTGATTGGATGAATGTCCTTTTCGAGATCAGCGGCCAGGTTAACTGACGGATTTACTATTAAGACAGGAGTAAATGATAGGCTCATCCACAGAAATGCATAAACGCCTACTTGGGAATTGATGACATCAGGAAGATCACTGATGAAGATCAGAAACGGTGTCAGACACAGAATAGAGCCTTGGGGGACACCCGCGTTTGTGTCAAAGGATCTGGAAGCGTGCCCGTTTAAACCGACCTTCATATCACACTTTGATCGGAATGATTGGATTGGTTTAAATTATATATATATATATATATATATATATATATATATATATATATACAAACGCACACACACACATTGCTTCAAGCCTCCTTTTCATCTTTAAAGAATTTCTAGATCATTCATTGCTGTATGGAAGGATTCGTATTAATTATCGGTTCAGTACACGTTTCTTTGTTTCTAACGCCTCAGAAATATGCAGAACATTGAACCGACAAGGATTACATGGACGACTGCAGAAAAGATAAAAGCCAGTACTGAAGTAAACTTTAAAAGGCTGATTTAGTCTTCACTTCAAAGTTTTCGGATAGTCGAATAATTAAAAGAATATTTTTCAGAAAGAGAACAAAATATAAAAAATGAGGCATAGTGGTTAATGGTTAGTAAAGCTAGTCTGACTGGCTGTTACCATAGAGTAGTGAGTTCGATCCTTACTCGGTGCCCCATACTTAGCAACAGGAATCAGGGTGGTAAGCACATAATATTATGGGGTTGTCTTAATGTGGCAAGAACCGGAAAACTAGCTTCGATAAGAGAATGTCTCCTCTAAAATATTGCGCTCTGTCTGAATTTCTGGAATAAACAGTTTTCAAGACGTTATTTTATATTCGGACTATTGAACAGGACCATATATCACTGGACGTGAACAGTAGAATGAGAACAATTTATCCCTAGATTGAATAAAGGGTTGAGCCTGAAGTTCCTTAAGAGATATCTGGATCGACAAACACTTGAAGAAGCCCAGAGTGCATGACGACCGAAACATTGTGATAATAACAACAAAGACGACGACAACAGTCCGAATGCAAATAATGTAAATAATCAGTACATTATTAAAAAAAACAACTTACCCTTTGCTTTCCAGATTAATCTTCTAGCAAGATAGCGAACTGAAACATATTTCGAAAATAACCTCAGTTTGGTTTCTGAAGAATAAGGTTAGGCTAGTGAAATGGTCGTCTCACTCTCCTGACTTAAATTTAACAGAACATTTCTAACATGTATTGAAAATTGCTATTGATCAACGGAAATCATCGTATCTGAACGGTCTGGAATATACAGAAGAACTGCCGAAATCACCAGTCGACCGAGACAGAAACCTTATCGAAGACTACAAAAACATGTTGGCAGCAATCTGTAGCAAAGTAACCTCAAGAAAATATTAAATGAGATGCTCAAATACGAGTATATACATATGCAAATATCGTTATGTTAAAGAACTGTTTCCGTCAGGAGGTGGAATAATGGATAGCGGCTCGGATTGAAGAATCGGAAAGCCGAGTTCGAATTACAGGTCGAATCTATCACTTACTTGGGAAAGGTATGGATCCTCTTGTTCTCCCGCCCCCCGAATATGTAGTAGAACTGACCAGGTTCTATAGCCTTGTATGGTAATTAGTCTACCGCAGAAAGAAATAGCTGGAAAATCTGTCTCGTTAGTCATGTATCTAAAGATCGCCTAAGCCTGTATCAAGCATGGCACGCAACTGACTGGCTGTTTCTGTCAGTTAAAAATTTTGCTGCTACGACGCAACTTACTACATACACGGGGTTGATTAACACTAATTCCGTATTTATTCCATTGTTAATTTCCATTCAGATATCTTCTTCTAGAGGATCGATTCTTTATAGAATAGACACCCGAAAGGATAGTTCCCCAAACACCACAATCTTAACATCTTCCAATCAAAGCTCCATCGTTTATCAATCCCTCACATCTTAATAGTTTTCATTTCTTACATTCATCTCACACAATGTATACAGTAACCCTCTACATTGATTGGATCTTGGGGCATGTATTGGGTGATCATTAGTAAAATAAACCCTAATACTATAGTAATGGGATGCACGCTGTGATATAATGGATAACGGCTCAGAATGAAAAATCGGAGAGCCAAGCCAAGATCGAATTCCTGTAAGGTTTAGGCAAATAACCTCGGAAAAAGTATGAATTAATCTCTTCTCTTCTCTTCCCAATATAACAGGACAGACTGAATCATATGGCCTTGCTTTGGAGCCAGTCTAATGCGGAAAGAATCGACCATCTACTGCGAGAAAATCTGCCTTGTTAGTCAGGAATCGAAAGAAACATGATCGCCCAATCGTGTATCACGTGTGGCACTTAACTAACTGACTATGAAAATAAAACGACAGTAATTCTCTCTTATTTATTTCCAATTTAAATATTAAACCGTTCTACTAATGTTAATATTGAATCAATATCAATTTGGAACGATTAATTGGGGAAAAAACAAAGAAAACATCCTAAGATTCATATACATGTACATAAATTATACACTCACTGAATTGTTCGATGTTCCCTGTGTGTCTTTGTGTCATACTCAGCGTCAACAGAAGAGCCTCTTAACTCTGCCTAATGTACTTGAGTGCGGATATATCGTCCGTGGAAAGCGGGTTTTCTCGTGAAAGACTTTATAATTGCGTCACTCTTAGTTGTATTGTGTGCAGTCGCAGAAGAGTAATACAATCACCCATAAACAGATATTATCTCAAAAAAAGTCCCTTGGATAAATAAGAACAGTGTCCCTCCTCTATTTTGCGCAGACAAAACGAAGCGTTTAGAATAATGAAGCTAATATCGGCCTCCATGTTGAGTTAATGGTGCATTTACAAGCAGTGGAATTCGTCCATAAAAATCTAAACTAATATTTTGAAAACTGATTCAAAAGGAAATAGATTCTCCCTTCTTGGACCTAGATGGGGGACTGCTTTAGAATACAAGGTTCTGTAAGTTTTTATCTGCGGGTGGTGTAATGGATATTGGATCGGAATTGTTAAGCGAAGATTTGCATTTCCAGTCAATTACGCGCAAATAAGGGAAAGGTATAAATCTACCTCTTCTGCTTCACAGCTATGCGTTAATTATTAAAACTTTTATCATTAAACCATTATTATCCCCCCAAAAAAATTATTTTAAACTGAATATATTTTCTGGCTTTATATAATCTAATAAGGGCTGATAAACGATACTAAACGAATCAGAATACTTTTGGGGATCATTAGCACGGTACAATATTCTTTATCTTCCGATTTGTGATGGACTAAAATGAATTTAATTTATAATTATCCAACAATGAAATGAGGATGGGATGTTCGTGTTTGACGATAATGATTGATTCTTCAACCAGATTTCTCGGCCCTTTTTGGAACTAAAATCCAAAAATTGATCAAAATTGATTTCCACGAGTTTGTCACATCATGAAATTGGCATATTTCGCTAAACATGGAATTGGGTTCAATCCCCGATTCAATGAGGAGTTCCAAAAGGAAAGGTCCAACGGAAATGCATAATTTTTGTTACTTATTCCATATAGACGCGACCTCCACTTAAATCACGGCAGTAAAAATGTTCAGATGGGGGTGCAGATAAATATGAACTCTCACTATATGCATCTATCTATTAAAACTCTCACACTTTCTTTCTCGCTTTCTTTCTATCTAGCTTACTATCAACTCACTATCCCATTCTCTATCAATCAATCTTAAGTGATTGATAGTTATATCTATCTTAAAAGATTGCTATATATATATATATATATATATATATATATATAGAGAGAGAGAGAGAGAGATAGAGAGATAGAAAGAGAGTGAGACAGTGAGTATCTATCTCAGCCTGTTAATTTCTTTCTATCTATATATATATATTTTAACTCTCACTCTATAGCTATCTAGCACTTTCTTGCTCTCTCTTTCACACTTTCTTTCTCTCTCTCTCACACTTTATTTCTCTCTCTCTCTCTCTATCTGTGTGTGTGTCTAGCTAACTATTAACTCTCACTCACTCTCTCCTGTCAATCTTAAAAGGTTGATAGATATAGTGTACCTATTTATATATTTATCTATCTATGGTTCCCTTCATATAACGCATTTGCACATGCCATTGTTAAATATCATGATCTCTATAGAATAATACACTATCGTATGGGCCAAAGATAATTTTACTCTAAGAGACGAGACTATCTCTATTATATCTACTACGAGAATTAAATCCAATCATTTTGAACGAAATTCTTTAAAAGGAAAATCATTTTTACCATTGATAATTTCAAATAAATTCGTCCAATCCAGTAAGCTTCATTCACTTAGCCTGTTATCCCAATTGCAGTGGGTTACTATTTGTCTTTGCTCTTTTGTGGTGAAGAAATCACTCCTTCGCCTCCACAAACTTACACACTCCAATTAAAAAGGAATCTATCGTGTAAGCGATTCTAGTCCATGTTCACGCACAAATTCAAAATCTGGTAAGATATTATGGCTTTCCTGTTAAAGTCATTAATCTTTCCTATTAACTAAATTGGATACTTAAGTATTAGATACAGATGCTGGCTATTCGTTGGCCAAGTCATTACGTGGGAGAATTAATACTCAGTTCTTATATTTTATGGCCTCTTGTGGTGGACCAAATCAAAGTGAAAAGTAAACAATTTATCCTATATACGATTATTCTACTGTTTTGGTATGTTAGACCGTTATGCTTTACTCCCACGGATCAAAGTGTGATTCCTGTTGAATTCACAAGTTTATTCAGCATTTAGGCTTTCTAACCGAGATAAATTGGATTGCCTTTTACTGTCCGCTCAACTGACAAAAACGAGTCCAATTTGGAAGAGAAAAATATATATTAAAATTTATGTATATTAAGCATGCCAACTCGACTGTGATGTATAAGGTCACAACGCCTGCATGTTACTGTTTTAATTCCTATAGTAAGCATTTTTCCATCGGGTGTAATTCCTGCTTCGCCACCCAAACATTCCGTTTTTTCCCTAGATTGGTAGACAAACATGTCTAGAGTTTGCCTGTCTATTAACCCTAGCGGCAAGGAAAGAAGAGACTCATGGCACAGTGGGTAAAGGCGTTGGTTAAACCCAGTGACAGGACCCTAAGAGTTTGAGTTCAATACCCGGTTAAGGCAGTGGGGAACTTAGAGAGGGGTATTAACAGGAGATAACTGATAACTGACATCCATTAAACATGGCACGTGGAACTAGAACAGTCTACCCCAGTGAGCGAAATAAAGGGTTCAGTTCAACATTCCAACCACCTGAAGAAGGCCGAAGCGACAACGGCCGAGACGTTGTAATAAATATGGCGACAAAGATGAGGACACTAGTCCGATTAATGTAAATAGTGTACATAATACCTCATCTCAGAAATATAGACAGATACATATGACATCATGTCTTTCAAACGGATTTTGTACGAAAGCATACGGAACAGTACACATCAATCCAAAATTCCAGACGGGAAAAGTTGAAATTCTTCACTTTCTGTTTAACTATTTGATTGTTCCAGTATGTTGAAGATAATTCTCTTTCTTTGTGCCTTTGCTAAATTCTTTAATTCTAAAGGTCAAGCCTCTTTTCGTTTGCGCTTTCATAGCCTCTACTTATCAACAACTGGTATTCTGGACGTTTTGTGAAATTATATCTTTTTCTTATCTAGTGACTTGCGAAACTAATTTGATATTAGTAAATGTCTGAGTCAGCGCTTTGAATGCATAAATTTTATTTTAAAGAAATATGGTGGACGAAAGAATGGCCGTATGATAATTTTAAAAAAAATTAAGTTAGCAAGATTTTGAGAATTTAATACCTTGACGAAATGCCTAGATAAACAAATGAAAATTTTAAAGAAACACAAAACGTAAAAAAAAAAAAGGGAATTTGCAAATAAATAAAATTGTAACCGTTACTGAAACATCTGTGTTTATGAAAACCGATGGCGGCTAACCAATAGAATTTCACTTCCGGCGGAAATGTGGTCAGCTGGACGCCATTTTAGATAATTGCTGTTGGCTATATCAGAAAAAAAAAACGAATAGCTACTCTAATTTCCAGTAAAAACAAGTGGCAGAAATTACAAAAAAAAAAAAAGCATTGATTTCACTAAAGAAGAAATGAATGGGGGATGAATATTTCGACAAGCTTACCGAAGAAAGTAATATATTCTTTAGCAGAGAGTCTTGAAATTGGTTACTGACATATGCTGTTAGCAAGAAAATGAAAAAGAAAAATTCTGAGTGAATGGCATTCTAGTCTTTTCAATTTATTTTTTAGTTGTTGTTTTTATCACTTTTTTGCCATTTCTTTCTCTACTTTCTCCTCAGAAGTACTATTAAGTTCTTCGTAAAATACTGTCCGATTTTAGAACAAAAGTTTTCTGTTCTAATATATTATAATGGTAATGGTAATATCAGCCGTTTCCCTACAAAAATATTATTCATCCCTAATGATTAAAGTGCTCACTTTGTTAATTTTATATCAATCACGCTTAGAATTTAACTTAAAATCTTATGCACCAATTATCATTAAATTGGAGAAAGAAGAGATGCGTTTACATTCTGTGCACTAGTTCGAGTTTGGTCATATTACTTCTGGAATTGCTGCCAACATTAACAGAGCATGGATGTGAAGTACCCACTTGTGAGCGGACAGTACGGCGCTGGTTTCTGAAGTTACGCAGTGGGGACATAAGTTTTGAAGATCAAGGTTGTAGACGACGACCATCTGCATTTGACAGTCAACAGCTGAAAACACTAGTCGAAAAAAACTCACGTCAAAGTGTCAGAGAAATGTCTCAGATAATGGATTTAAGCGTTTCCAGCAATCTCAAGAAAATCGGCAAGATGAACAAACTCAATAAATGAGTTCCATATGAACTTAGAGGAAGTCAAATAGTTCGACATTTTGAGGTGTATTCTGCAAAATTCGAATGATCCAAAAATCTTGATCGAATAGTGAATTGTGATAGGAAGTGAAACCTTTATGAGAATCTCAACGATTGACGCAATGGTTTTGATCATTATGGATATCCCAAACCAAATTTCCACCAACAGAAGATTATGATGACTGTCTCGTGGCTCACTACTAGCATTATCCATTAGAGCTTCCTGCAATCTATCAAGAGCATCATTGCCAAAGTTTACTGCCAGAAACTGCGTGAAAGGCATATTCAGTTAGGCAAAATGCGACCGGCACCGGTCATTTGTTTCATAATAATGCTCGGCCACATGTTTTTAGAATGGCACTGCCAAACGTCTCTGATTTGGGATACGAGACTTTGCTGCCATCCACCATATTCCTCTTATCTTTCACCTACCTCTTTTTCATGTATCTTGACAATTTTTAAGCCATATAGAAGATACTGAAACTGCATTCAATGATTTTTTTACAGTTGTATTTTAAGGGTATAAATAACATTGTAGCTCGATGGCAGTAATATATAGATGTTCACATTTAAATACATTAATTCGAGAATAATATTTGATTTTAAAATAGGAACTTATTTTCCGAACAGTCTAATAATTCATTTTC